TAGGCCTAGCCACGTTTGAGTGTTCCATCAGTTTTGTTACCATCTGTATATCATTTCACAACATTTACAGCATGCTTGGGATAATTTTCTTGCATCAGGGTACCATCAATTTTATGTAGATTACTAATACCATTGATTGAAATACAGCTCTCAGCTTGTATCAATCCCTCACCAAATTTCGATGTAATTGTTTTACATTGATTATGATACAATTCTCCTCTCCACCACCAAACAAACTGATGATGGACAATTTAAATTGGATTCATCTGTAAAGAACACATATCTTCAACTTTGCTCATTCAACAGTTTGTGGTCTGATGCCTAAGTTAACTTTTTGGTTTGGATGTCTTCATATTAATGTGTATCTTACTGTTCTCAAAATAATATTAACACCTGTGTTTACATAAATGTAGTTGTCAAGATCTGTGCTTGATCATCATCTATCCTGTAAAAAAAACATACCCTGAGATACTAAATATAATTTTTTCATGTTTTGTTTTCTACCTCAGCCACTTCTATTATTAACAGCAATAACTTTATATGCCCTCTTCAGAATCTTTTACACAGCTCTTATTGAAACATGGAGCTTTACTACATTTTTTGTATGGATTATCCTTGACCAGCCAAAACTAACTTCTATCTATTTTGAAAGTGTATTTCAGTCCTGAAGGCTATGACTGAAAGCACAATGCTACTATTGGGCATAGTATGACTGCCTGTAGCTTAATACTAATGTGGCACATTCTGATTGGTTAGGTAACAAGAAATCACAGAGTAAAATACCTACACATGGATTTGCTCCTGTCTAATTCAATGCACAGGATAAAAGGATGGAATTCACATAGTATTTGCCTTTTATACTTTCATTCTCACAGTTTCATAATTGTTTCCAATACTGTATTCCAAATACAGCAGAGTAAAACAAAACGATTGCTTGCTTTCATCCTGTTGATTGAAAGTTGGAATATCTTACTCATATCCAAGGTATTACAAAATACACTGCTCAAAACAATTAAAGGATAATTGGATATTTCCATATCCTAGCCATGACAAGGCACAACTACCGTTTTTTAATAATGTTAATGGTACCCCCGAGTTAATTTAATGTAAAACAAATGACAAGGTAGCCAGTCATGTTACTTAATAAGCACATTTCAGTGGCAAATAAAAGTGAAGGAAACAGTGTGTGTTTTCAATTAGAAGTATGGAAGTAAGCAGTATGTGTAAAAGACCCATACTGATAGTGAAACATACCAGGACCTGACAGAAAGACTTCTTTACTTCCATAACGTGGAGAGTAAAAGGTTGATTAGAAGATAGTCCAATTACAAGTCTTTCCAAAGTAGCTATGTCTTAAATATGGTTAGCATGATGTGTACTTGCTTTTAGACCATCAATACAGTTTGTAAGAGTCCTTGACAATGGTAGACTATTGTCAATAACTCCACAAGATGATCACAATTTGACAATAAGGGCTTGATGTACCTAATGGGTCAATATTCCCAACAGTACTTAGTAATAACTGGACAAAGGGTCTGTGTATAAGTAATCAAAAGTAAACTTCATAAAGTTGACTTTTATGTCAGATTACCAATGGTGATTCCTTCATCTTAGGGAAAATAAAATTCCAACTTCTCTCTGACAAAAATATGTAACTCCTTGACTATTTGACAGGGACTGAAATATTATCTTCTTGCATTCCTGAGGAACTTCATCATTTTAGTTGGATTTCCCAATCAAGAATGCATGGTCCATCCATATTCCTTTAGTTATGACCAATGAAAGTTAACATATTGTAT